TAATTTTTGCGATTTCTATTGTTTAATGTAAATTTGTCTTTTTAGGACATGTCGAGCCAACAAAGAAGGCGCAGTTGGAAAATTTAGTAATTAGTAATGAAGTAGCAGGCATATTTGGAAAATTATGCCGATAAACAGGATGGAATTTGGGAAAGTAAGTGTATGGTTGCAGCATATCATGTATAAAAAGTTTTTAATTAAATTGTTTACAGCATTCGGATTCTGACAACGGGCGAGAGTGGTTCGGTCGCGGCTTTTGATCCATCGGCTATCACCCACGTTTTTCTGAAAATAAATTTTGTGCTTCTTCTATTGGCAAGTTAACAAAGCTTTTTGAGTGGTTGTTTTTCCTTTGTAGTGTTCTGTGCTTGGCAGTTCTAGCATACTGCGCATTAAAACCCCGACTCATAATTTAACGTCGCGTTTAATTTAACTAAATAATTGGGAGCAGTTTTAATAAATCAGGTAAGTGATCTTGGTTTCTTTCCTAGCTGGGGCGTTCCCCCAGTCGTATACTTTTTAAAATATAAAAAGTCTTCTCATAGTGCCTCTTAAAAAGAATAAAAAGCTTAAGCTGCCGCTCGCGGCACTAAGCAAACCCAAGAAAATGGCGCGGACTCCGCAGTCAGTGATTCCTGAAATCACTGATGCGGATGCTGGTGCGGGAAAGGCAACTCTGCTTTTTCAACCAATGACGAATGTCGCGATAATCGCGCGCAAAAAGAAAATTTTTCTACTGTTTACCCGCCAAATTTTGGAGGGGAAATCTTTGTGTTGGTTGACTCTTCAGAGTGCCCTAACATGAAAAATGAAAAATTCACTACAGGACTGACACTTTTTGGTCAGATAAAAGACCTAAGATTCAAAGACATTGACTTTATAAAGGCGGTTGGCCGTACTTTATACAAAGTTATTTTCAAAAACGCATATGCGGCAAACACGTTTCTAATGGACGACAAAATTAAAAAAAGAGGATTAAAAGCCTTTATTCCCAGAACTGCGCTAGAGATTTATGGAGTGGTGAGGGGTGTCCCCACCTGCTTCCATGAAAATGAAATTGTGGCTGAGGCTAAGTCCACTATACCCATAATGTCTGTATATCGTTTTTCCCGCAAAGATGCCTCTTCTGGTTCGATTATTCCCACGACAACGCTAAAGATTGGCTTTGCCGGCAATGATATCCCAAAAGAAATAATCTATAACTATACCCGACTACCTGTAGACTTTTACATACCACCCCTTCGTCAATGTGACAACTGTGGCCGATTGGGACACACCAAGCTTGGCTGCAAGTCAAAAATAAGGTGCCTTAAATGCGGGAAGAATGAATGCAACAGGGAAAACTGTGATAGTGATGAATGTATTCTTTGTGGAAGGAAGGGACATGGCGCGAAAGACAGGTCCCTATGCCCTCACTGGGAAAAGGAGGAGTCCGTCAATCGCATCAAAGCGATTAAGAAATTAACAAGAAAAGAGGTCCTTGACATCTACTATCCAAAATCAACCAATAGATTTGAAATCCTTGAGAACGATGTTGCCAATTTTCCAACCCTAGGCGAGAACATGGAAACCGTAGTAAACAAAGACACTAACATAAATAGATCCTTCACAAAACGCAAATTCAGCACTGTAACTAAACTTTCTCCTCCAAAACCATCATTTTCCCACTCAAATGCTTTGGTCAAAAAAACCAGAGGCAATACTAATACACCTGCAATAAATTCGCCTGCGTATCAGAAGGGTATTGTTTCCGAAATGGAAAGACTCTTGTCCCAGCTTATTAAAATCACCCAAAGAATCTCCATCGATCAAAATGACCAACAAACCTTCAAAGAAATCCAATTAGTTAAAAACCAATTCGACACAATAATGAACAATAAAGATGAGCAAGAAATACAATCAGCCTCGCTTTCTATCTCTTTAGATCATGAAAATCCTTTTATATAATTGTCAGTCCCTCAGAGCTAACATTGACCCGATAGAATTTTACTTAAACAAACATCAAATTGACATAGCTTGCTTAAATGAAATTTTCCTCACCAGTTCAACTCCTCACAGAAAACTTATTAACTTTAATTTGATTAAAAAATACCGCACCGATGGTTATGGGGGTGTGGCGACCGCCCTCAAACGTAACATCAAATACAAAAGAATCACATTCAACTCTGACTATGATGTCTTAATTATCAAAACCACCAACCTTACCACTAATATTACCATCTGCAACACGTATTTCCCCCCCAGTATAACCATTCATGATTTTAATACAGAAATAACTAGAATTTTGAACTTCCTTGAACTCCATGAAAATGTCTTCCTACTGGGCGACTTCAATGCCAGGGCTACTATCTGGGGTGATGGCATGGATTCGCACAGAGGTAAGCATCTGGCGCAGCACATTCTACAATCCGATTTCTATAATTTTAATAACGGTAATTATACCTACCAACGTGATGTTCTTGTTAATAGTGGGTCGATCCTCGACCTGTGTTTTTCCAACTCTGGCATTGCGTGCAAGTCACAAGTTGATGCGACCAGAATAGGGGGTAGCCGCCACTTCCCAGTGATCATTGAACTGACAAACATTACTAAAAGAAACGGTACATTTGTTGTTAAAAATAACTCTCTGAAAACACTTGAATGCGAGGCGTCGATCACCGACTTTGAAGACAAAATTAAACAAGAAATAAATAATGCTAGATACACACCTGAAGACAACAGAATACCCAAAGCGTGGTGGAATGAACACCTGGAAAAAACCTACCGCTTCTTAGTAATCGCCTTCAAGAAGGCGAAACACTCACCCAGTCCTGAGAATTTTGAGTCACTAATTACACAACAAAAACTGTGGAAGAAGGAGGTTAAGCAGGCAAAAAAGGAGAATTTCAAAAGTAAAATTGACGAGCTCAACTGTGGCATGTCCAAAGTCACATGGCGCTTTGTCAGAGCTTTAAGAGGTGACTATGTTCAATCCAGAAGTGAGGTATGGAACCAGGAAAACAACCAGGAGTTCTTAGACATGTTAAGCAACCAAGTACCCAACCAACAAAACAACTTAGAAATCAATCGGCCCGTGGATTTCAACTCAAACCTTTTGTTATCTTTTGATGACATCAAATCTGTTTTAGAAAAAAAAGGACTCAGCTGCTGGACATGACTGTATCACTTATAAGATGCTCAAAGCTCTCCCAGACCTCACCCTTGCAAATCTAAAAACCTCGCTCAATGACATTTTTCTTTCTAACTAGATACCGGACCACTGGAGAATTATTAAAGTTGTGCCCATCCCTAAAAAAAACTGCGAGTTAAATGACTATAAAAATTTTAGACCCATAGCACTAATCACTGTTTTACTCAAATTAATCAATACTTGCATAAAAGATAGAATCAACCTTTTCCTGGAAGAAAACAATATGCTTCCTTTTAACACATTTGCATATCGCAAGAACAGATCCTCTGCCATGTGTCTTAATCACATTCTCCACCAGATCAGCATTCTCAGAAATCAAAAGAAGCATATCATCTTCTGTTCTACGGATATATCTAATGCATATAATTGCGTAGATATAGGGCTCTTGAGAATGATATTGCTGGAATGGAACATTGAAAAACACTATGTTGAATGGACTTCCTGGCTTTCAGGGTACTACGATTGGGATCCAACACCATAGAAATTAAAAATGGTCTCCCCCAGGGCAGCTGCCTCTCACCTGTACTTTTTAACGCCTATACGGCCAGTCTCCATGACCTCAATGATGATGACACACACTTTTTCCAGTTCGCGGACGATTTCTTTATAATTTCATCTGGCTCAAGTCTCGTGGGTGCTCAAAGTAACCTCCAAAACAAACTAAACAACTTTTCCCACAAGTGCAATCTCTTAAATCTTAATTTTAATCCTACGAAAACTCACCTTATGCATGTGACAAGAGGTCCAAAAAAGGATATAATCATAGACATAAATGGTGTCACAATCACACAAACTAACAGCATCAAGGTCCTTGGCAGGGTAATTAACTCCTCTCTCTCAATCGGCGATCACTACTCCATGATAGTCAAAAATGCCGCGAACAACATAAAGCTCTTTAAACTTTTAACAAATATTAATCAGGGCTTCATCCCCAAATATCCCTAAACATTTTCAAATCAGTTGTGAGATCTAAAATTGAATATTGCTCTACCACGACTGCCAATAGTTCTGTCTCTGCTTCAAAAAAAATTCGCACCTTTCAAAACAAATTCATGCGCAGGTGTCTAGGCTTAACCCCCTCGACTCCGATTCCTCTAATATATGCCCTCTCCAACGAGCTCCCGCCGCTGGAAAGATCTGTCTGGCTTACTGCCAAAGAATTGGTAAACCTCTTTTCAATACGTTCCCCCATCACACGCTTGTTAATGTCTGGTCCCTCAATAAATTCTAGCTACTCTTCTGTGTACAATAGATTTTCTCACCTTTTGGATCGTGTTGATGCGATTGATGGATTCCTCCCTTCCAACAACTTGAAAGTTTGCATAAAAAGTCTCCCTAGGAAAAAATCAGATATGTCTAATGAAAGTATTAAAGCTCATCACCTTTCAGTTCTAAATGAATACCAAGCTGGCTGCTTCCATATTATGTACACAGATGCCTCAATCTCTGAAGACAACACCGGGTGTGGAGTATATGACCACACGTCCAACAAAATGCATTCCTTTCAAATTGGCTTCAGGGCTTCCTCCACTTTTGGAGAGCTCCTGGCAATTGATGAGGCAGTCTACATTGCAATCCAGGAAAATCGCACGCGCCTTGTTGTCTTCACTGATAGTCAAGCCGCTTGTCATATCCTCAATAATCCTTGCTCAAAGAATAGCATTGCACACAGAATACACAAAAGATTGACTAGCCACGGTGACATACATGTGTGCCTCATATGGACTCCTGGCCATGTAGGCATTCATGGCAATGAACAGGCCGATGAATTAGCTAAAGCCGCCACTGCTGATAGTCCACTCAAAGTAGTCAATCTCACTGTAGACGAAGCCTTAAAGCAGATCAAAAATGAAATCCATAATCAATGGTACACTGAATTTCTGAGCTACTCGCGCTCAAATCCGAATTTATTTGCTAAAATCTTTCCAGTTAGAAGAAATCATACTTGGTTTAGAAAGCTTTCGCTTTCCTCGTCCGACATCAAGACACTTAACAGGATCCTTACAGGACATACTTATGACAATGCATATTTATGCAAAATACAAGCTGTTAGAAATTCAAGATGGCGTTGTGGTCAAATAGATGATTATGTGCACCTAACCTTCAGCTGTCGCTTTTTTAATAATTTAAGATCAAGTTTCCCTGTTGTCAACAACTCAAGCACATTTGAGGAGATTTTTATCCAAAAAGACTTAACCAAGATTACTCAACTCTCTCGTTTCTTACAAAAAGCCAAATTTAATTTTTAAATTTTATTATGCATACAATAGGTATGCTGTCAATATGCTCATATCACCAATTATATGTTTTTTACATGTTTTGTATCGTTAATATGTATTTTGAATATCTACCGAAAATCGTTCCACTTAGTCCAGTCACATAGAGTCCACGTTTGACACTCGCTACAACTCACATGTGTCAATCAGTGCAATCGTCCAAATTGCACTCACTTGCTACAAGCTCTCTTGTACACGCTCGTATGAAAATCACATTGGCCAGCTCCGACAGAAGATTCCGGACAACGAATAAGCTCACACGCTACTAGTGCACGGCATATGAAACAAGGAGGAATAACCTGGTGTTGTGTGTTCCGCTAAGGTCACCTGCCAAGCAAACAGAATTCAAAAAAAAAAAAAAAATTGTTTATAGAAATGTTATAAATCGAGTGGCTCATTTACGATGTGCTCCAAACATTTGGCGAACTTTTTCGCCTTTTCAACGTGCTAAGTAACAAGTTAAGATGACTGCCATCATGGGCCGGTAAGAAACCGCAAGCAAAGGGCAGACAACCTTCCAGGAAGCTGCCTCCTGTCCCCGAGCCGAAGCTGCAGTTCAGCAAGAGCAGGTCAGCAAATTGCTACCCTGATCAAACGTAAACTAAAGCGCTCTGCTATGATTGCACTCCGTAAATGTGAAAACTTGGTGCATGCTGAGAAATATCAAACAAGAAAACTCCGTGATGGACGCCGTGAGATGGTGTAACGATGTGTGGCAAAGAAATGCGGCCAATTCGACGGGCCTAAAAAATCCAAATTGGATTTTGTGATCCGCATCCGCGGTATCAACAAAGTTGCACAAAAAGTTTACAATACAATTTGGCACATCTTCAAAAGACGCCCAAGCAAAAAAGAAAAAATTCCTGAAGTCGCCTTTTCACGGGTCGATTTCTGTCGACTGGAAAATTTACTTAAGATATCGACTAGCCAAAACGCTTACATTTTACGGTTGAATTGCAATTTACACGGGTAGATTTTGGTTAAACGACAAAAATCGACCGTGTAAAGGCAGCTTAAATAACGTTCATATTAATCACTCCCTTTGAGATGGAAAATACCAATAACCATTTCATAATTTCGAAAATTATTCCATTTATATTTGTTCTTGCATTTTCGACACCACTTGTGAGGTATGCTTTTACGCGCGTTACCGATTTTTTTTAATGAGCTCGGTTGCCCAGGAGGCCTATTTTCACCTTTACAACTTAACTTAAACAGAATTAAAACTAAAGCATGCAATATATAAAGAAAATTAAAAGTTGTCTTACATCTAGTAAACTTAAAAAATTGCACATTAAATTCATTTTTCATTATAAAATAAAATTAATTATCACAATTCAGTTTACAAAATGTGGTCTGTTTGCACCCACAGTAAGTTCCCATGAAGCCTAGCCTAAATTCAGAACTGAAAAAAAACGAGCAAATGGGGTCGGAAACTACTAGCCCTAAAAGCATAATGTGGAAAATGTTTGAAGAGCTGCGAAATTGTATTGCAATAATAAAAATAACAGTGCATAAATTGGAAAAAATGGTTTTTGTTTTGCTTTATAATTTTTGGGAATATTGGTTCAGATGGAATTTTTTTTTTGTTTGGTTTTTCAGCTCGTTAATGATGCGCCCAGGGTTGCATTTACTGTCTATGAAAATATTTCGTGAAGCGTTCCAAAATTAGATCCGAGCAACTAAAAGTTGGTTAAGCTTAAATGAAATAGTTTTTTATTAAATAGTTATTCCTGGTATTTAGTAAAAAACATCAATACTAATGTATGAAAAACAAAACATCAATGCTAATGTATGAAATGAAGTAAATAAAAATCTACGAATACATTCCATGAATATTTTGTCATAGAGCCATTATTAAATTTAGACATAACTTTGTCAGGCGTTGGTACTTACGTATATAGAATTAATGCGTTGGAGAGAGATAAATATACAAGTTCAACGAGCTAATTTAGGTATCCTTGTATGTATATACCTGTTACTCGTCTGGCATATACTCCAACTGCGAAAATAATGACAATTATAATTTATGTAGATCCCTGGATAAAAGATTGTCACAAGTTACTTTCGGTAACTCACGATTGAAGTTTGGTATGCAATTTCTCAGAAACACGACTACAGATTTTCTCCAAAGTGTCGGAGAATGCTATGTACTAGTTCATGAAATTCTTAAATTATCTTATTTTTTTTTAGTTTAGTGTCAACCATTTATGAGTTTAATAAAATTTTGTCGTATACGTCATTTGTCAAAAAATTTGCAGTCAGTTTTAGTGATATACGCCAAAATGTGATAACAATTTTTATAAATTAACCATACTTTTTACTAATCAGCCTAATCGTGAGTTTCGCCCGAACAAAATTTCGCCACCAATTTTTTCATCCACCTGTAGTGAACACACGCAAACGAAAAGTGACCCGGTTCTAGAAAATGAAACTCATGATAAAGCTGAATATGTCGGAAACTAAAGAAGAACAGATAACTCTATTTGAAAGATCTTGATTAGTTTAGTACGACAGCAATACTAACGCAATTTGTACCAAATAACCGAAAAAATTTTAGTCAATTAGTCGGAAACTAAAGAAGATATCCAAAAACCACAAATTGTCCAAATTACGCTTCCGGCAATTTTCCATCTAGGCGACGATATTTGAATAGGTTTGTATAGTTACCAATAGTCAGTACTAATTTGTACTGGAACCTGCAAACTTTTACTGGAAAAGTGTATGATAACCCAAAAAATTTGCAAGAGAGCACTGAATCGAGAGCGTAACAACACGAGAGAGCTGCAAATTCTTGCTAGTGAAATTTTTACTAGCAGAATTTAGCTAGCAGAGGAAGAAGAAGAATAAATGGCAAAAGAATATATAAAAAGTGGTGTTACTAGCTCAGTTGATTTTGTGTATGTGTTTCGCCGTTTTCCACCTTTCCGAAAGCTACCGCTACATGATAAGCCGGGGTGTATACATTTTAAGTAAATTAGCGTCCTTAAATTTCGAAATATTGAAATTTCAAGCATTTCTGAAATTTACCGTTATATGAAAAGCGGCCTCAATTTTAGTCCGATTTCAACAATTTTCAACGGTTTGCTTTTATGTGGCAAGCACAATAACCATACCGAGCTTGGTACAAATTGCTAGAACGGTTAGCGAGATACATATATGTGATCACAAGTGGGCGGTGCTACGCCCATTTTCCAAAATTTTGTCATAAACGTATTTCTTGGTAAAGAATTGTTGCAACCATCAATTTTGAATAAATTAGCTTCAATATTTACTGATTTATCGAAG